GTCATGTTTGGATACCATACGGAATTAGTTAGCGGACATTTTTTCAGAAGACATTTTTTGGAGAAAATGTATGAGATGTTTCTTTTTCTCCCTCACTCCCCATTTGCAGAATTCTCTCAGAAATGTCTCTGTTGTTGTTGTTACTTGGTTGTGCGGTAGCTGACATTTTCCCCTCACAACGCTCTGGGAACAGTGCTAATTCTAGGGGGAAATGCAAAATGAGGGCCAGACTACCAACACTCTTGATGCTGCTGCTACTTGCAGCATGTGGAAAAAAACTGTGTTACTGCTGCTGCTAATAGTGTGTCCCAACATTTGAGAAGCAATTGGAGAATTTCTCCTTTCTCTTAATGAAGTTTGTTAAACGGTTCCTCAGTTTCCTCTGCCCACAAATAAGACGGAGAATCTGACAGGCCGTTTGGGCTCGCTTCTGCACTAAACCATGATTAAGACTCAACCAGTGTGGCGTAATGGTTAGAGCGTTGGACTAGGACCTAGGAGACCAGGGTTCAAATCCCCACTCAGCCATGCAGCTCCCTGGGTGACCTTGGGCCACTCACTACCTCTCAGCCTTAACCTACCTGACAGGGTTGTTGTAGGGATAAAATGCGGAGGAGGAGAACCATAGACACCACTTTGAAATCATTGGAAGATAAAGGTAGTATAGAAATGTAACAAACAAGCAAGCCTTGGTGAGCTCCATGCTCACATACACCTTTCTCATCCCTTCTCTTACTCCTTACTTAGCTGCATCTTCTTGTGTCACGTCACCTGAACTAAACAACCATGTAAAATCTAAATTGTGGTTTCTAAACAATGAACATTTGGTGTTATGTTGGAGGGGATGCCAGGAAACAGGGAATCGTGTTCACACGTGGTGGGGGTGTAAATGTGTACAATCTTTTGGGGCAAGGTGTGTTTAAGGAGATAACAGAAATCACTGAGTTAAAGCTGACCGGAAATCCTGAGGTAGCGTTATTATCAATTTACGGTGGGGTGGAAAGTTCGCAGGCTAGGAAGGACTTGCTCACAAATTTATTGACAGCTGCACGAATTATAATAGCAAGGAAGTGGAAGGGGCAAGCAGAATATGAAATGGAAGAATGGTATAAAGAGGTGTGGGATATAGCGAGGTAAGACGGGGAATACACAGGAGAAATTATTTTGAGGAGCTATGGAGGGTGTTTGTAGAATTTGCACTGTCAAAATGGAAAGGGGTCAAACCATCGCAAGAGGTGTTGAATTTTGGGAAGATTGTATAGTTACAGTGGAATGGTCTCGGTGGTGGGGTGCATGTTTTTATTCTTATTTATTTATTATTATAACTTTGTCAAAATAAAATAATAATAATAATAATAATAATAATAATAATGGGGGAAATAAATAAAAGAATATACAAGGGGGGATCTAAATTGTGGTTTCTTCGAAAGAAGCCCAACTTGAAGCTATGAAACTCCAAGCTCCTTTAGGCCTGTTTATGTCACACTAAACCATGGATTATTATGATATCTGAATGCGGCCTACATTACACTGTGGCAGATCCCAACATTCAACATGCACTTAATGAGTAGAGGCAGGATATAAGCATGTTGCTATTTTACCCGGCAGCATTGAAGTTGATTGCAATCTGCACTGACCTTCATTAGAAGCTAGTTCAGGTTAACTTCTAGACTTGTTGAACAATCATCGTGGTCTTTCCCAGTCAAACGTCATGGTAATCAACAACACGTGATCAGATCAGTTTGAAAAACCCTCAGATTTATGATTCACTCCAGCCATCTTGCCCAGCCACTAATTTGGTCTCATGAGTTCTTTTGGCTTGTAACATGTTCTTCTGTTCAAGTTAGCAGTATGCCATTTTGCCTTAAGGGAACCAATTATTATTTTTCCTGGCATGATTTCTGTGACTTTAACTGCTGCAAACCTTTGCTAACGGATGTTTTCCCCTCCATATAGTGTACTGTACTGAATTTGGCAAACTATGCTTCTAAACCATATTCTGTACAATCATCTCATTTGGTATTTAATTGGGTACTCTCAAATCTCATACTGATCCTGATGCGCTACTTTGTTAAAGATGAGCCATGAGCAAACAGAAGTCTTAATTGTCATGGTAGATGTTACAAAGAAGAAAGCTTTGACAATTCAAAAGATTTGTTTCAGTGTTGCACACAGGAGCAAAAGCAGAAGCCTGAATAAGGGGATTGCTTGATGTTGTGGTAACATCAAGTAGCAAGAAAATATACTGATAGCAGTCAAGAAATATGTTGGTCTTTATTTGATGCTGGAGCCCCGTAATGGCTGGATAAGCATGAAGGCCTCAGCCAGTCTTCCTATTCTCCTCACCACTATGCCTAATAATAACAATAATAATAATAATAACAATAATAATAGCTTTTTTTCAGCCAGAACTCACTAGAACTCAGTTCCAGCACCTCTCAGGTAGGTGCCATTGCCATTATAATATAACAAGGGAGATGTTCGTGGTGAATCCACTCTGGGTGGCTTCCAGCAAATTAAAACACAGTAAGACACCAAACATTAAAAACTTCCATATACAGGGCTGCCTTCAGATGTCTTCTAAAGGTTATATAGTTACTTATCTCTTTGACATGTGATGGGAGGGTGTTCCACAGAGTGGTTGCCACTACCGAGAAGGCCCTCTGCCTGGTTCCCTGTAACTTCACTTCTCGTAGTGAGGGAACCACCAGAAGGCCCTCGGAGCTTGAACTCAGTGTCTGGGTTGAGCGATGGAGGTGGCAACGCTTCTTCAGGGCCAAACTCCAGGCAGTGTCAGAAACTGTATGCGTAGCACCTTTTTGGCATGCACAATTCCTCATCCATCTAGGCCCAGGGGTAGTCAACACACCATCAATGCCCTTCAAATACTGTTGGACTCCAACTTCTGTCAGCTCCAGCCGGTATGGCTAATTATCAAGGGATAATGGGCACTGGAATGTACCATCTAGAGAGAACTGTGTTGGCTACCACTGATCCAGACATATGTGTAAGGAAGATCTTACTTAGTCTGAGACATAAGGCTGGCATCTTGCACACAGACTCCATTGATTCCAATTGGATTTAAATAGTGTATTAGTTTTATCAAATAAACAGCCAAACTGTGTTTAGCTTTGCCACCTACAACTGCATATGTAAGACCAAGAGCTAACCTAGACGAAACATGAATTGTGTAAATGCAATTGATGTGCACAGTTTTTAACGTTTAGAGAGCAGGGCAGGGTGTGGAGACTGACCAAGGTTCCATGAAAGCTTGGCTGCCACTTATTGAGTGGTCATGTACGCTGTTTCATGAACAACAACCCTCTGTTTGAAGGGCTCTTCAAGTACCATAATAACAGAGAGCAGAGGCCTTGAAGTTGCCCGTCAACATTCAGCACCTGAACAGCAGATAGGTTCACTGCAACACATTCTTCCCCACTATACTGAGATGTATTGTATTTCTATTCAAATTATAAAGTAATTATTTCTAAATCCGCACATAAATCATTATGCAAACTTTATACAAATCGGTGTCCTCTTTTTTTGGTAATGTGTGGGTGATCATCCTAATGCACATGGAAGCTTCCCTTCTAGAATGATGAGCAAGGAATGAATTTGATTGGGATCACAGCTTTGCATTACTGATTCATCCCCCATGGCTATTTTTGATGTCAAAACCAGTGCTTTTCTTTGAGAAAAAGGGTGCCGGTACTCACCATGAAGTTGTTACAGCAAGTGCCACACCTGTAATCACACACACAACCACACACCCTGTATACAGTATATCCAAACAATTCACATAAAATTCCAATGCATAATTTTTTAAAAAATATATTGTCGACTTCCCTTCCCATTTTCTGTTATGTTTTTCTTATCCCTCATTTTGCAGCACCCTGTCTTTCCTCTTTTTTAGCATTGTCATAACGCAATAATCTTTAGTTCTTTCTGATGCTCATAGTGTGAAACCTGCTCATGGATTCTTCATGCTATAGTACCGGTATTTCTTAAAATAAACAAAAAAGGCTTCCATTCCTCAAAAACAAAAAAACAACACCCAGTGCTTTTCTTCTAGAAAAAAAGGTGCTGGTACAGCAAACCCCTGAGTACCCCCAGAAAAAAGCACTGGTTAAAACATATACTAAAAGCAAATAAAAATTATATATACTTAATATATACTAATTACATCCATACAATTAACATCTTGGCCTGTTCGGCCCTTAGTGCCTCATCTAGATCATTCCCCACCACTGTAATAATAAAATTTAAGGTCTTATATGTATAATAAATGTTCATAAATGTACCAACCAAGCACGTACATAGAGCAGCACAGGAAGACCGACCTGAAACCATTTTGACTCCCAAACTGACCAAATGTTTTCTCTGCAAGGAGGGAGGGAGTCAGGGAGCCTTCCCATTGTCTCAGGAATTGGGAAATCACCATCTCAATGGAATGGGCAGACTACCAGGAAAGGCAATCAGATAAGGCATTATCAGATAACCCGGCAGACAGGAAAAACAACAACATTCAAATTTCTGTTGTAGACCACCTTTTCTGTGATGTAGGTATGATGTTTGTGGGGGGTGGTCTTGGGTTACACCCCTTCTGTGATGTATGTATGATGTATGGAGGGGTGGTCTTGAGCTCCAGGGCAGGGAATTTAAAAGGTCTATATAAGGGTAGGCGAACCTTTGTTCTGGGTCCTCCTCCTTTCCTGCGTGTGAAGGGGGCACCTTGTTGCAACAGCTTTAATAAAGATCAGGTTTACTAGCTGCTTTGCTTCTCAATATTCTCTGGTTGGCCTCTGTTATTTTCTCCTACCAATAGGAAACCCACGTAAGGACTCTATGCGGGCTCTTGAATACCCCATCAGGGAAAAAGGGAATACTTTGTTTACAACAACACCACCCTTCCCCAAGAAGTAAGTACTGCTTGTTTTCAGGACTGCAGTCGGAGATTGAATTTTAAGGACAAGCTTAATTGTATTATTGACATCTAGAAGAGAAATCTTCAGCTCTGTGGGATTGCTTGTGTGGTCAGGAGTTGACCAGCTTATCTAGACCAGCTTTACCACCAGTCATGCCTTCATGACACACTGACTCTTCCCGCCATGCTTGTTCCAGTAAACAGTGCAAAGTCAACAAAGGGATTAACTGTATCCAACCAGCTTCTGTCGGTGGATGTGCATACGCAGTCTTTCAAGATGCATAAACTCTAAATCAAGCAGCTAATTGTTAAGAGGACAAGAGGCTTTGCTAATGCACATGCTTTGGCTATCTCACACAAGGGACTTGCTTGTAAAGTTGTTTGTCTTCCCGGTCAGTTGCCAGAACAGGAAACTGAAAAGTTGGGGAGGGGAGTTGCATGTGCTGTTTTCGTTTTGTTTTGACTTGCTTTAGGTTGTACCCAGTGGAGAAAAGCACCGCTCATGATCGCAGACACTCTGTCTTTACGTTAAATCGATTATGCAAAGAAACTGCTTGCCCATCAGAGTGGAGGAACCTTCCACACACAGAGAGAGAAGATATCACATGTACCGAAATGGTGCCCCTGAAGAACTGGGGAGGGGGAGGCAGAAGTAGAGAAGATCCATTGGAGAAAAGTTAATAATAAGCAGCTTTCTAGTTAAAAATCAACTCGTTATTATGGAGGGAGGATTGATTATTGATCTCTGTCCATTTCCTTCATGTTTGCATTGGCAGAGCTCGATACCTTACACTGGGAGGCTGGTGGAGCATGGTAGAATTAATTAGTTAATTAATACCCCCACCCTTCCTCCCAAAGGAGCCCAGTGTGGCCAACATCAAAGTGATAAAACAAGAATAGAATAAAAGCATTTTTAAAAACAATTTTAAACATCTAAAATCACATTTAAAACAAAAGTTCAAACATCTTTCAAACAACTTAAAATATTTTTCAAACACAGATCCTCACAGCTAATAATTTCAAGGTTACCAGGAACAGTATCTTTCCACCATTCAATGCCTGGGCAAACAATATTTCCCCCCCAATTCTTCCTGCAAGTTTATAATGAGAGAGAGAGACAGATGCAAGTCACCAGATAAGAGTTTTGGACTTGGATCAGAGAGGGCTGGATTCACTTCTCCACTCAGGGTCAAACTACATGTTACATTGCATCTGTCTATTCTTACTAAAAAACTAGCTTAACCCCTTCCTCCCCGTGCCATTTTTTTGAGGGAAATGAAGGGTACTCAGTACAGTGGTACCCGGGTTAAGTACTTATTTTGTTCTGGAGGTCCATTCTTAACCTGAAACTGTTCTTAACCTGAAGCACCACTTTAGCTAATGGGGCCTCCTGCGGCTGCCACGCCGCAGGAGCACAATTTCTGTTCTCATCCTGAAGCAAAGTTCTTAACCCGAGGTACTATTTCTGGGTTAGCAGAGTCTGTACCCTGAAGCGTATGTAACCTGAAGCGTCTATAACCTGAGGTACCACTGTAATTGTAAGCACGTGTTCAGAAGCACATGTTTAATGTAATGCATAGTTTCACTTTCAGTCACAAAGCTCACTTGGTGACCCAAAGGGCTGCTTCCACCCTTACTTGAAGGGAGGATGGGATGCATATTGACTAATAATAATAATATTTATTCTGTTTATTGTATTTATATCTAATCTCTCCTCCACAGAAATCAAGGTGGTGTACATGGATCTTCTCATCTTTCCCCTTTTATCCTCACCACAACCCTGTGAGGTAGGCTAGGCTGAGAGACAGTGACTGGTCCAAGGTCACCCAGTGAGCTTAGCTGGTCTCCCAAACCCTAGTCTAATCACTGCACCACACCAGCACCTAGCTCTTTGGCATCCCTTGTTGCACTATGTAGATAGGCTGTTGATCATTGTTGGAGTCGAACAATAATCTGCACAATAAATCAAGTTATATATAAAAATCGTAACCATGTTATACCAAAATAGTAGGTTGGCAACCTGCTCCCCTCCCACCACCCGACACATAGAAAATCTTAAGTATCAATAAAAGTACCAAGAAAACCCAACTATGGATCACAGGTAAAAAGTCCATTTCTACCATGAGTCTCTCATGAGAGCCAGTGCAGTGTAGTGGTTAAGAGTGGTAGTCTCTTAATCTGGTGAATCGGGTTCGCTTCCCCGCTCCTCCACATGCAGCTGCTGGGTGACCTTGGGCCAGTCACACTTCTCTGAAGTCTCTCAGCCTCACTCACCTCACAGAGTGTTTGTTGGGGGGAGGAAGGGAAAGGAGAATGTTAGCCGGGTTAAGAAATTTACTTCAGGATGAGAACAGAAATTGTGCAGCGGTAGCAGCAGGAGGCCCCATTAGCTAAAGTGGTACCTCAGGTTAAGAACAGTTTCAGGTTAAGAACGGACCTCCAGAACGAATTAAGTTCTTAACCAGAGGTACCACTGTACTTAGAGAAAGTTCTTTATCAGATTCCAGTTCACATCAATAAGACGATTATGCCTCCCCAAATAGGTGTGATTCTTCAAACTTGCTGTATTATTATTTATAATAAACTGTTTCCTTACAAAAATATAATTCTCACCTTGATAATATGCTATATAATGAGAGGGGGGTCTTGTTATGTGGGCAGCCCAGAACCTCCATATACACTGCCCAGGCTTGCACCCCGGGGTGGTCACTATGTAGTTTGTTTTCATCCCTGGATGGGCACTCAATTGTCTCTTGAGAAAGACAGATGCCAACAACAACATTAGAATTTGAAATATCAAAACAGAGTTACATGAACATATTAATCATTGTACTGGGATTTTGTATGTGTTTAAAAAGACGGTGTTGTTGATCTTTTATGAGAGGATAATATTGTTACAAAAGTTAGGTGCCACCAACTTCCAGCGGGTTCCACGTCCTCACCCAAGCTCTCAATTCCTTTGGAGAATTGAGACACAGCAGAGACTGTCATAGCTTTAAGAAATATGGTTTTGCTATGGAAATTATGGGGGGGGGGCAAATCTTTAAAGTTAAATGTTACAAATATTAGGCCTGAATGTATCCTTTCAACTTGACAACTCAGGGAAGTTACCTAGCTTTAAAAATAATATAAAATCAACTCCTTTGCTAGTTTCCTCCATTCCAAAGCTATTTTCCCCTTGAAAGGAACTCCAGGAAGTTCCCAGAGGTGACAATTGCTGAGCTGATTGTTGGCCAAGGAAAGCCTAATCCCATCACCAAACTTGCCAAGGGGCCAGACGTGCAAAGGAAGTTCTATTGTACTTTGGGTGGTGGGACTTCAGAGGTGTTTGCCTATGCTAATCTTATACCTGAGTCTTGCCCTGCCATGTCTGCTTATGCTAATCTTGTACCAAGGACTTGTCTGGACATGTTTGCCAAAGTTAAACTAGTGTAACCGCTGTCTACCCCTCCCCTTTTGTGACATTTCAGTGATGTAACAATGATGTAGTAATGATGCTGTACGAACTGTATTCTGGGATATGGTGGGAAAGTTTTAAAAGTCTTCGTCACCCCATCCTCTGGATTCAAAATTCCTCTTTGAACCTGTTGCGCAATAAACTTTGGTCTACAGCTATTTGCTGTTGGTGGCTGGACTCCTTCCTTTATTCCACAGGGACCCGCGGGCACTGCCCGACGAGTTGGGTGACTGAGCAGCCTCACACCTAGATTTTTCCATAACAGTTTATTCGCCTATTTACACCTTCAGTCTGCATGGAGGGAGTCCAGATCTTACAGCGTAATCATTTCAAGAGGGGCTTGTACCCCACAGCAGGGCAGCCATGCAGTCCAAGGCATCTCTCCCAGCCAGCCTGCAGCCAGCCTGCCCAAGATGGATCCCAATCTTTCTTCTTCCTCTCCTTCCCAGAACTCCCTGTTAAAAACACTCTTTTCCTGTCACCACACACCTAGTTACCCTGGCAACCTTCCAAACCCCTAGTTTCTGTTCACACCCGAGGGCAAAAGGGGTGATAGTTCTCTTGCATTGCCAATGGCTCTCAGTGGCTCTGTATTGTCTCTTAATGGCCCTAGCTTGGCCAGGTCATTCCTCTTCAGGAATTCCTCTGCAGCTTGTATTTCTCCCTTCACGTCCCAAATAATCAAAATCCTACCATTTATTCATTTCAAATCTATAGCATCATAGATACTCTCTGTTTACGTTTTTCATCTCTTTATTGTGCAGCTAGGCTAATGGCTGATGTGGGATCACAAGGCAAAATATATTTATCTCTGTGGAAATCTGGTTAGCGCCTCAAGAAGCCATAGCAGAGAGAGGGCGGAACAGTAGTCTTGTATTTTCCCCCAGCATTCCTTTTCACTCCCTCGGCCTGTCAGCTCTTTTATCTGTTTTCTTTTCTTCCTTCGCATTGATGTCTGGGTTGTAAAAAGCTTTTCCTTCGAGATTAGATTATAGATCCAAAATGGCCATGGGACTTGTGAGTTCAGGAAATTGTGACTTGAGGAACTCTCCCTTCTCGTTGGAGGGCTGGGGATATGTTCTCCTCCTAGAGGAGTGTCCCGTTCCTAGAGGAGGAGGGCGAATCAAAAGGGGCCCATTTGCTTTCCCATCTGTGGAAAGGAAGTCTGACTTGGCATTCCTCCACAGAGTCCCTGGCACTGCTAATGTTTCCCAGAAAAGTGGGTGGGTGTTGCTGCTGCTTTGGAAACAGGCTGGAGATGGCTCGAGACTGCACAATCTATGCCTATGTTGTACGTATTTTTTAAGAACAAAAAAGGAAACTGAGACAGATGGGAAGCTATTTGGTTGTTGCTTTTTGGACCTTGGATGTGAATATTATATTCACCAAAAGTGGAGGGGACAGGTCTCTCCATGCCCACCATTGATAAATATATACCAGTTTACGGGAGCTCATTAAAAGCAAATCAACGGTTCTTTTGCAAAAAATAAGCAGGCAGATTAGTTCACAGTTCATTGTAGCAAACCCACAATGTCTATAAGTGAAAGAGAGAATGTAGTGTGTGTGTCCCCCCAAACTCTGGGCTTCTGCTATTGCTTGATCTGTAAACACAACTGTACTAGAAGCCATGGATTCCTGCAGATTTTTTTGCATTCCAAATCCAGGTGTGTAGATAGGAAATGGCTCCTAGGCTAACACACCCACGAAACAATACGAGATACAGTACATGCCAGAGCACCATTCTTTATCCAGCGAGGGTGGGGCTTGGGCTGCTGTCTTTTGAAAACAGTAGGCCTTTTGCATATGCTCCTTCAGTCAGAGGAAAAAGAGGCCCAGCAAACGCGTAATATGGTGATCCTATCTTAATACTAAACATTTGCATAGTGATTTCGAGTGTTCAAAAGATCATATGCATTATGTACTTTACATCAACTCCATAATATAAGTTCAGAATTTCTGTTCTCCATTTTGCAGATGTGGAGACTGAGGCTGAGAGAAAATGGTTAATAAATTTGGTAGCATTTGCGGTGCCACAAGAATCTTCATTGTTTTCTCTTGCCTGGTTTCATGGTAGAAGCCAGGTTCAAACCAGGAACTTCTCTTAGCCACTTTGTGAACTGCTGGCTATCAGTTGATGCAGATTTTAATGTATGATGTGTTGTTATTGTTGTGTTTCTGTATATTATGTTGGAAGCCACCCAAAGTGGCTGAGGCAACACAGTCAGACGGGTTGGGTACAAATTATTATTATTATTATTATTTTGTTGTTGTTTAGTCGTTTACTCGTGTCCGACTCCTTGTGACCCCATGGACCAGAGCACGCCAGGCACTACTGTCTTCCACTGTCGTCCATTATTATTATTATCCAATTTAATCTATATTTCCAAGATGGAGACAACTTCTGGAGATGTTCTTCCTTTACCTGCAAATGCCATTACCTTCAAAGCCCACTCAAGGCATTTACTAAAGATACATTCTGGTACTCAGACTTAATGAGCTCTGGCATAAATTGAGGGTGGATATTTGGGGAAAACCAAATATTCAGCATCTCTTCACATAGCAAATCTGCTGATGGGCAGCGTTCTGCAGTCAGTAAGTTTCTCTGTGTGCCAGTTGGCAAATACATCGGGGAAATAATTTGAAGGATATCATTGCGTGCTCTTTGCTTTATGTCCTCTTCATATTGCAAATTTTGTAAAAGCAGGTAGATAAAATGGAAAAAGTTATCCGTCGGTTAATGTCATGGTTTGCCAAGTATGTCATTAATGTTGGCCAAACTCTCCTTGTGTCTGGGTGTACGTTTTTGATTCCCAAAGCAATGTTTGCTAGAATGGCTCAAACATTTCCCCAGCTATTCCAAAGCATTGACAAACATGCCAATTCAATTTCCTTACAGAAACCTGCCGATGATATTTATAGCTGAGTGTATTTGCAGACAAGTTGGCCGCTGCTGAATAATTTAACAAAGAATTAGCTAAAACCAAATGCCTGAAAAATATCCTCAGCCATCCTCATGGCTGGAGACAATTCGCCTTCTCATTTATGATGTGGTATACTCGTTATCAGTTTGTTCATTTCTTCTCCTCTGCCCTGTGACGCTGATGTTTTGAATCCTCCAAAACATGAATGGGGCAGGAAACCTAAATATGTGAAAGAGGGAGAGCCATTGAACATAGTGGGACTTAATTCTGAGGAAATCTGTTGAGGATGATGCAGTAAAACTGTGCGGTGTCATTCACTGCCTGATAAAACTTTCAGGTCAGATACAGAGTGCATCTCTGGAATCCATGTTTAAAACATTCCTTATGTATCTAAGAAGTGACAACCTTGTAATAATTGAGCTAATTTTCAGATGAGAACAATACAAGCGGACCTTGGGGAGGCGTTGAGGTTTCCAAGTAGACATCTGTAAGTAAAGGCGAAGTCAGCATGGTGCTGTTGGAATCAAAATACCGACCGGCTATGTAAACAAATCTGAGGGCACACGTCAGAAGTATATTGAAATGTCATAATGAAGCAAGACAGTGTATTGGAAAGTGTGTCTGCAATAAGGGCAATGATGATGCTTTTGCGCAGACCTGTTTTGCTTTATCAGTTGAATGATCTCAGATCACTTCGTGCCTCTGACGCAGTAGGTCATTGATTACGAAAGCACAGGTCCTCTTAAACCGGTTTAGGGTATGGTTACCAGATGTCCCCGTTTCCTGGGGACAGTCCCCGGATTTACAAATCTGTCCCCGGACAAAAATCCGTCCCCGGAATGTCCCCGGATTTCATTTAATGTCCCCGGATTTATATTTTAAGTGTTGTAAATGTATTAGTAGGGGTTGAATGTTGCGTGATTGGTTCAACGCCACAAGACACATCATATGGGGACCAGCCAGCCGACTGCCCATCGGCGCTCCGGGGCCAGGAAAACCCCGGAGCCAACGCAGGGAGAAGGAAGAGAGGAGAAGGAGAAGGAAGAGAGAGAAAGAGGAAGGAGAAAAAAGAGGGGAGCCCTGGCCGTGCCACCACCGCCGCTGAGGAGGAGAGGTAGGAGAGCATCGGGCGGGCAAGGACATGTGGCCGAGCCCAGGCCCGACCCAAGCCTACTCCATGGTGGCTAGCGTTCCAAGAGAGCAGGCCGGGGCCCAGAGGAAGGCAGCGTGACAGAGGAGACCACAGAAGAGAAGATATTACTTCTTTAAAGAAATAAAAAATAACATTTTTTAGTAACATTTTTTCTCTTTTCAAAAAAAAAGAAGTGTCCCCGGATTCTTTGAAAAAAATCTGGTAACCTTAGTTTAGGGTTTGTGATGCCTCAACAAGCCCATAGCTCTGATCAAGAGAACTCTACTGCCAATGTAAATGGCTAATGCTTGGGATAGTTATGTGTTACCTACAGTCATCCAGCACTGGGCATGAGCAGTAGGGTCTCTCTGCACCACTTGAGCATTACTTAGGAAGGTGATGAGTGCTATTAGAGCCAACAAAGTTGATTGTCTGTTTGGATGGTGGAAGAGAAGAAAGTGTGATATATATTTTTAACATTTGTAAAGGTAAAGGACCCCTGACAGTTGAGTCCAGTCGCGAATGACGCTGGGGTTGCGGTTCTTTACTGGCCAAGGGAGCCGATGTTTGTCTGCAGACAGTTTTTCTGGGACTAAGCCGCTTCTGGCAAAACCAGAGCAGCCCATGGAAACACCATTTACCTTCCCACCGGAGCTGTACCTATTTATCTACTTGCACTGGTATGCTTTTGAACTGCTAGGTTGGCAGGGGCTGGAACAGAGCAACGGGAGCTCACTCCATTGCGGGGCTTTGAACTGCCGACCTTCCGATCGGCAAGCCCAAGAGGCTCAGTGGTTTAGACCACAGTGCCACCAGCATCCTCTTTTTAACATTTATTTAGCATAATTCGAATACTGCTTAATTGTTTAAAAGGGGGGAAATGGCTTAAGCGGT